AAGACCGTACGCCGGAGGGGCTCCGTACGAACGGACCCCGGAGCCATACGCCGAGTAGGCTGAATACGCCGGGTACGCACCATACGCGTACGTCTGGGAGTGTGCCGCAGGCGGCTACGGACATGGCAACAGAGCCTTGATCCGTCGGATCATGCGAAAGGCCTCGTCGAGATCGGACGAAGAGGCCCAGCGATCCACCCGCAGATGCAGACTCGCGACCTCTCGCTCCAACAGGTCCAGGCGGCCCGCAAGACGAGCGAGCTCGCCCTGATTCCCGGCCTGGGCGGCAGCATCATCGCCAGTCCCAGGGCCAAGTGCGATCTCAAGCACGAGGACACGTTGACGGTGGCGGTCAGCCTCAGGGCCCTGTGTCGGACCCGCAGCCAGAGCACTCGGACGAGAGTGGCGTTCAGGAGGCGCCGAGTACTCGTACTCGTACGAGGGCACCTCCGCCCCTGCTTGACCGGAATGGAGAAGCTCACTTCCACGTGGAGCGGATCCTCCTGGAGCAACGGCGTCGTGGTAAGCAACAGCTCCTCGTGAAGTGGAGGGGTTATGCCCACTCCGAGAACTCGTGGGGGCCGATTGAATGGCTCCTGATTAACTGCCCAAAGGCTGTCGCAATCTGGGAACAGAAGCGGAGGCAGCTTCATAAGTAGTCCGGGGATTCTTTCCCGAACGGTGTACGGACGTTGAATACACTCCGTACCCGCGCTCATCGTGAGCGCTAGAAGCCGCACGCTTCAGGATGTCCCTTGGCAGCATGCGCTGGCTGACCAAGTGGGCAAACCGAACACGAAGATCACGCTGGTCCAGGATGCGGGACAGCAACTGATCTTCATGGAGTTCCTGTAACTCCGTGGGTGAGTACTTAAGAGATTCCACCCATGCCCAGAACATGTCCTCATAGGAACTCCAGGTGGGACAGTTCTCGGGCAGAATCCAGGGGTATCCCCAAAGAGGATAGAGACCCCCCCCCCGGGTCTCGGGCTTCTTACGACAAGTCGTGAAGTCTCTAGGAAGAGGTCAGCTCCAGAGCTCTCCTCGGGAAGCCAATACCCTCTTGAGTTGATAGCAGCTCCCTGGCTGACGGGTGCCACCACCGAACCCCCACGCACACGCTGGGCAGCTTGGAAATCCTCCTGCTGCCGGTCGAGGTCATTCGAGACCTCCCGGGGCTCAACGATAGCACCCTCCTCTTCCTCTTCTTCCTCCTTCTCCTCCTCTTCATCCGAGGAGTCGAAGATACTCCGATAGGAGCGACGAGTCTCCTTCTCCTCGCGGAGTGGAGACTTAGAGGCTGTACGCTTCTTTGAGGGCTTGGCGCCTTCGTCTTTAGAGGCCTTAGCACGCGCAAGACCCTCGACAAGCGAGAGACGTTTGCGAGGATTCTCTTCCTTATCGCCACCGGCTTTGGGAGCGCCTTTAGCCTTGACGGCCGGACTCTCGGAGCGCACAGAAGTCCTGGGACTGTGATCACCTTGATCACTAGCGAGCGACTGCACGCTGTCATCTTTGTGCTCACTGGGCACTGGTCTGTGCATTCCCACAGAGCCCGCAGGAGCATCGTGCGTACTCGGCATCGTCCTCACTGCCAGAGTCGAGCTCACGTTCTACGAACCGAGGGCTCGGACGATTGTCGGGAGAGGCCAAAGGCGACGGGCTGCGGCGCTTGCTTGTTCGCTTGCCGACAGCCTTGTCGCCCGATGAACCGATCGCCTCGGAGGCCACCTGAGTAGCCTCCTTAAGTGCCGAGCCTTTGCCGAGAGGCTTAGTGCTCTTGGCTTGCGCCTTTCCGGCAGCAGCCTTGGAGCGTGTCTTCGCACCGCTCTTTGCAGTGCCACGAGGCGTAGTAAACGGTCGAAGTGGAGACCTAGAAGAAGAGCGCACAGACTGCTGCTCGAGGCTCTAACTGTGAAGTGAGCCTCCGCCGCCCAAGTCGATGGTTTTCGACTTTGAAAATGAAAATTTGTGACGAATGCCTCTTCATTCTGATTGGTCGGTAAACCGAACGTAACTGGGGGAGGGTGTAACGGGGTATGTAGCCCTAAGTGTACCCTGGCTACATGAAGTGTGGCACGTCATACTTCGGGATATTTGGTACTAGGTACCAAGGTCGTCCATTGGTTGATGACATTACATTTGTACAGGTGACTTATAGTTTGTATTAAACCCAAGCTTTATCTACCTATAAATATACTCAATTTACATTCTACCTTAATTAGGTCACTTCGCTTTCTTTTGAATAAAGAGGGGACCTGTAAACTGCCGTTCACTGAGAGTTTGTAAACTATCGGAAGCCAACTTCCTCTAGCGCAAGGTGCTGTGTGACCCCGTCACATTTACAGACCGAGGAAAGCAACGTGAAGCGCAGTTACGGCTCCAAAAACGGGGAATTGATATCAACCTCAAATTTCGTGCGCTGCATATTTTCTTAACGTGTGCGGACATTTTCGAGCGGTCGATTCGAATATCAAAAGCGTTAGGTCAATGCTGTTCCAATTACAACAACAACCTTAGTGGAGTATGACTCGGTGCTTGAAGAAATACGAGTAGCGCTTCCTTTGCCCCGCAAAGTGAAAGTAAATGGTAAGACGGTGGACCAAACAGTAAGTCAGTATCTTCGTAATATTCACCCAACCAGTTGGGCCAAATTTGGGAACGGTTCCATGACACCGGAAGAGACTCCAGTAATTACAATTGATTGGAAGGTGTTGAGTCGTATGGAAGTAGATATGCGCTCTTTGGTGGCAGATCCACTAGTGCAATTGAGGGACAAAATAATGCTCTATTGCTAGTGATTGCCAAGTTTTTTGGGCTCTACAACTTTTCTGTGATATGGTCGTCGAAACCCTTGCTAAGAAGAAGACCTATGCAAGCAGCTGAATGAAAAAAAAACACTGTTACTCCGTGAGCCAAGTCAGCCCTAACGACTTTTATGGCCAGTCATGAAAACGTTGATGTATTTACGGTCGGTAGTGATAATAATCCTTATATTTAGTGTCCATAAGATTTGTCGCGGAGCAACATGTGTAGCGTCACTTCCGGCGAGGGAATTTGCCTTGGCTTGAAGAACATCAGAAAGAAGCCCTTTGGTTTCTTGGGTGTGGACGAACGCTAAGAGCTCAGGCTCGATAGATGCATGTTGGGGCTTTCGCTTTTTCATAATCTTGTCGTTGGGCGTGCAGTCGAGAGGCTGATTCATAATTTTTCCCACCGTGGAAGCGCACACCAATCCACTGCTGGAGGTCAACGTGTTTAAGTTTGGGGTTGGCTAGATGGTGACGACGTAGTTCATTCTTCTCAAAGATACTGAGATGTTGGCGCAATGAAACCATTGTTTCGCTGTGTGGTGTGATGTTAAGAGAGCCACGCTGCACCCAACGCTCTTGTTGGGAGGCTCTCCTACACTCTTACAGTCTTTTAGCCGGCTTGGCTTAATTTTAGTATGGCAAAAATCGGGGCCACGCTAGAACGCTTTACAGCTCGAATTTTTCGTATATGCACTGGATATACGAGAAAGAGTGGCCCTGGATATAATCCAGGGCCACTATAGCCGGTGGTGAGACCTTTGAAACTGAGCAATTAGGACACTGTGTTGATCAAGCCACGCTGGTACAAACCCTGGGGTTATGGAGGGCATTAGTGAAACTTATCAACGAGCGGCAAAACCCACTCCCTCCAGCCAAGCATATCATGCCAACTTTAATTGCGTTGTGGAATCGTGTCAAGGGGGGGGATCGATGTCTATTCAAGATATCTGAAGAATGTCAAGTCCAAGCATTTCCGACTGACACCTAGTGCAACAATTTGGCTTCGTCTGCTCATGACTCTAGTGTACAATGCCTACCAGTCGTTTCTGTTATTCCAGGTAGCTAGCAGCTCACGATTCGCGCGCAGAATATGGGTTCTAACTGTGATTCTTTCAGTCACACGGTTTTTTGATGAATCGAGGACTATGTACAAGCTACAAGGCCTATCAGAAACACAAGCAAAATCTCCCCAGTTTTGCCGCATTTTGCCGAGAAGCTGCCGTTGTGCTTTCAAAGAAGGCAGGCTCTCTGCGCCCACTTAGCGATGCTCGAGACAAGGAGAATCGGTCAGGTCCACCGACATTGGAACTTTCATTCGCGTACAACAAACGAAATCACTTCGAGTCATCCACAGAGTGGATTCATCTTCGGCTATCTAAAAGTAATGATCACCATGAGGTACGGGACAATTGTCGCTTCATCTGCTCATAATAATGTATCCAATCAAACCGTTCAACTACAGGTCCGGATCCAGGGTGCACGTCAGAGATGCTGCATTATCTGCTGTCAAATGAATCACGACAGTGAAAATGGCAATCACACGCGTAAAGGGTACAAAACAAGCTTTGAGTGTGATATCTGCCATGTTTCACTTTGTCGCGCAGCAAGATGGAGTGACGGCGAGTCCTGTTTCGAAATTTTTCATCGTGAAAGGAAGCTGCCAGACCCATGCAAGGGGTCACACCATCTTAAGTCAACCAAGTCAAACGAAAACAGAGCACCGCCTCCATCCAGAAAGCGATCCAGAGTATTGGATCCTCCGAATCGACGAGCACCAAGCGTTCGCTTAACGAACAGGCATCGCCGACGATCATTGCGCTTGCAGCCAGTAGTCAAGGTGACAAGCCGAGCAAACAGCAATTTGTCCTAAACTTTAGGACAAACTTCAGTGAAATCAGTCTTAGGAGTGCAAGATTTCAAGTAGCGTAGTGAAGCCGATTCGATTATCACTGAGTCAAGTTCGTGAAGGATAACGAAGAAGACATGACAAACATTTATCTTGTTCCTTGCATTTGACTATAAATCTGCAGGACACATCAATCAGGGCCACTGAAATTTGGTCCTCATTTTTGTCCTTAAAAAAATCTTGTTGGGGTTATGGCGATTGGCTCTGCCTCTACTAGGAAGTACTTCCTAGTAGGAAGTACTTGAGATTTGGGCAAAACAATGAGTGTCTATTTATTTTGTCGCGCAGTGTACTATTAATACTACAGTATTAGATATTACTATGTAGTACCGATTTCACTTATTACCCGATAGTTACTAAAGTTATCTAGCGATCAACGGTATGCCATTTTTGCGTTCGAGCCGGTATTGGGGCCTGCGCTGCCGAACGCACTTCCACTAATATTGTCAAGCAAGAAAGCCCCGCTGCTGTTGCTCGAGCGCAAGTTTGCAGTCGAAGTCGACGTCGAGCTGGCTGACCCGTACGCGCGCTGATTAGCCTACCACCACCAAGCCATTTAGAAACTACGATACAGCATATCAATCTGGGGTACAGCTTACCTGATACTGATAACCGGAAAGCATCGGGAGAGCGTCTTCCTGATAAGCGTTACTTGCCGCAATGCCGCGAGTCGGGGCATAGGCGTAATTGGGCGTCGGAGGTTTATCGCGTGAATTGTTCGCCCCATAGCTGCCGCCAGACAAGGAAGCGGACGCTGAAGTGGCGGACGACGAGCGAAGACGTTGCCGTTGGGGCGTCGATTTCTTCTGTTGACGCGTAAAAAAGAGCAAGAGCGCGCTGGGGACGAACTCGGTCGAGAAGTGGATCGTGAATTCGTAGGCGATGTGGTGTACACCAACTGGGGTACGGTACTGCGACTCTTCGGACTCCATGTACCCTGTACCCATCCCGATCAAATACACCGCTTTAACTGCAAATAGGACGCAGAGGAGGATGCACACTGCCGTAATCTGAGTAGAATTGAGATCGTCAATCACAATAAAAAGCATAATCAACTCTTAATAACTGACGTACCCTCCGTAAAACCCGTTGTCTGGGCGAACTGGGTGGCAAAGAGAACGACGAACGTCCCTGGCGGTTGTGAGAGCTGTTGCCCATAGCTGCCGACGACAAGTCGAAGAAGAAATCTTCGTCTGGACTTTGATTGCGGAAGAAATCGATCAGTCGGATGCTATAGTAGAGAATGCCAAAGAGGCCCACGAAGTAGACGCCTCCTTGCATCAAGTCGCAGCCTCTCCACAGTCCTGCAGACGTGCTCGATAGAGCGAAAAGCAGCGCGAATCCCACGTATAACAGCACATTGAACAGGAAGAACAGTCTTCTGGGCCATGGATGGGCTTTGCCCCAACAGGCGTAACATAATTGAGCCCAGAAGAGCAACACGAGGCCATACATGGACACGAACAGCATGGAGGGGAGCCACAGGAACAACGCGAGTAGTCTGCAGTACACCGAGGTAGACGGTACTGCTGTCACCTTTTCCAGTGTAGCCACTTCAGTGACTAGAGAGCAGACACGCAACGTGGAGGCCACGAACAGCAGCAGGAACAGTCGATGGCGCATCTCGGAGCCAGTCGAAGCGGCTGCAGCGCCCTCTTCTTCCATTAGAGCAGACTCGGAGCCACCCACAACGTTCACTGGGGCTGGAGGTGCTTGGGGTACAGCCGAGTATGGTGCTTTGGTTGCAGGAGCAGTCCCGGGAGTCTCAGCGGCGGTGGTAGTACTGATGAGACGCTTGCGTTTGGCTGCATACTGACTGTAGAGGACGCGCCCAGACACGGCGCTTAGCAACAGGAACAGGAAGATTGTCAGCAACAATAGAAGTCGGTCGGCAAGACTCAACGCCTCTGCGCCTTCGCCCGCGAGGACGTCGGCGTCTACCATGACAGTTGAGGTGGTGCCTGCAGAGAATAGAACGATGTGAGGTGAGCACAAGCGTTAGAGAGGTTTACAGATACTGATAGATAGAGAGGCCAGAGAGGACTACGACGAGTGGTTTTTCACGTCGACACGTGCAGTAGATGGCGAGAAATCGATGCTGCAAGACAGAAGCCTTTACCTCGGAAGCGAAGGACGATGCCTTAGATTTAGCAGTGCACAGTCACCAGAGAACTTTTAGGTACACCACATAGTTGCGGTATGCTGCACAAAGGGTGAACCATGTATAGAGCGATATCCAAACTACGGTTCGAGAGCATCGAGTCACTCCACATCTTGGATGCAACTGCGCACATTCCGTGGCCGTTTGCACCTCCGCGCCATGTCCTCTGCTTCGTCCCTCTGGCATGCAGACTCGTCTGCTGCTCGTCACTCCAGCGTTGCAGTGTTCAACGAGTTCTTGCGCTCCACGCGCTCAGCTCTGACGCAATCGCCCACCTCGGTGCACATTTACATGGGTAACGAGGCCGCGGACGCCGACTCCATCGTCAGTTCCCTGAGCTACGCCTTCTTGCACTATCAGCAACATCATGAGACGTTGCATGTACCCGTATTGCCGATCCCCAGGAAGGAATTGGTGCTGCGTTGCGACGTCACTGCGCTGTTCCAGGAGCTGGGCGTGGACACTGACGCTCTTGTGTTTGTGGATGAGTTCCCATGGGCGATTACTTGTAAGAGCAAAGTGAAAGTCACGCTTATGGACCACAATGCACTCAGTAATAAGAAGATCCCGCATGTTGCCGGGCTCCAGGTGGTGGAGATTGTGGACCACCACTCGGATCTGGGTCGCCATTTAGACGCCGAGAAGAGAGAAGTGGCTTTTGCCGATGGCAACGCACTCGTGGCATCAACGTGTACTCTCGTAGCCGAGAGGTTGAAGGCGTCAGAGGCAAATGATGCGCTTAATCTCCTGTCCACGATGTTATTGGGCGTAATTGCACTAGATAGTATCAACTTCGACCCGAATGCGAAAAAGGTGACGCCGAGAGACGTCAAGGCGGCAGAGAAACTGGAAGAAACGGCGTTTGCAGAGAAAGAAGTTCTGTTTAAATGGCTCCAGGCAGAGAAGTTTAATCCTGCGCACTGGGGAAAATTTACGCTCGAGAATTGTCTTCAAGTGGACTACAAGGAGTTTACGTTCGAGACGGCAACAGGTGTCGCTAAGAAAGTCGGTATCAGTGCCGTGTTGATTGACTTGGAGGCTTTTGTGCGCAAGACTAAGGAAGCTGCTGCCTTGATTAAAGGCTTGTCTGCGTACTGTAAGCAGAACGAGCTATCGTTCCTGGTAGTGATGACTGTGTTCATGACGCCAGACGAACAACGCCACCGTCAGCTGCTCTTCTTCCAGGAAGCCGAAGACGAAGCTAAGCAATGCGTTGATTTTATTAAGAGCGAAGGTTCACTGCAAGTGGAGGTATTGCTGCTGCCGGAATCGCATCGCGATGACCACGTCGCTGCGTTCAATCAACTCAACACGGGCGCCTCCAGAAAGCAAGTCGCACCTTTGATCCAGCGTGCACTTGCTGAGCCTGCTGTTAAGCTGTAGGAGTCGACTAGGCTTTGTCAAAGCGTGACGATTGTTGTGTCAGCGGACATCGACATCGCTTCATATTATTTGCGTATCCTTGAATGCTTTTAGCGTAAGTGGAGCAAACGCACTAAATTTTAATTGCCTCATTCTTCTGGAATTCGGAGATGAGTCACCACAGAACGCTAACCTTGAAAGCCGGTGCAGTAAAATCAATAGACAGTCACATAGCGGATTTCGGTGGAAAGCCAACGGCCTCATTTTGCTTTGGGTGCTAAAGGACATTTCGGTTGGGACAGTATTCATTCGCCCTTCTTGTTGCTCTTGCTAGTCACGATATATGTACCGGTAGTGGACTCAGCTCTTCAAGTATTGCTGTAAACGCAAAGCGGATCGTCATCACGTGCTTGGAAGCTGGCCAGCCCGTCCTCTTTGTTGAAGAGATGCCTTGCGAATCAGCGACGTTTAACAGTTGAGCCAGCAGTCGTCGTCTCTTATTGGTCAATTGTTTGGATGCAGGGTCGACGCACTGCCGTCGCGACCTGGACTAGAACTGAAACTTCCAGTTGCGTCCGTTGAAGTTTTCAGAGCCTACCAAAGCCAAGAGAAAATATTCGTGCTCGCCATGCGACGGACGTGTATAGGCGAAATGCTACGTTGAATCGGCCTACAGTACAAGAACTTTGTATGGGTAAAATGCTGTTTTCGAAAAAAACGCTTCAGAATTCGCCGTGAGCAATTCGGAGCAATCGGCCACTGAACTCTACGCCCGACTGTCGCAATTGCAAGTCCATCGCCGGCTTCGACCTTGATTGCTGGGAGCTGCGAATTCCTCGCTCTCCGAGCTTCCTCGACAATATGGCGGGGCACAGCTGCTACGATTGTGATGCCGTTCTCGCCATGAAGCCAACCCCCTATCGGAAGCGCAATTTCCCGCACCAAAACCCGCCTTGCGAATCTTACACAGCCGCAACACAAACCTACACGTCAACATGCGCCTCGCAACGTATTCGCCGTGAAAGTGCCCCGTCTGTGCACTTCGACGTCGTTTTAAGACCAAATAAATGCGGCAATCATTGCGGAAAAACTGTCTCGCACAAGTAGACTTGACTCCACTATTGGCCAGCTCAGGCACCACGGATGTCAGGTGTTGACCCACAGGCAATTCCTTCGTCCTCCCCTTTTGCTCACGTTTTTTTCGCAAAAGCTCAGCCATTCTCCTTTTGCCTCGCTGCAGCACAGTGCTCCGTTCTACCTCGCCGTTTCACTCAGCAACTTCACGTCTCTAGCCATGCTGCCGACAAACACTCCGCTGGTCAACATGCAGAAGAAGAACACGAAGGATCAGGTCCTGGCCACCAGTGCGCTCAAGGACGCCATGGGTGCCGAGATGAAGAATCGCCACGTGCCCGTATACGTCAAGATGATGGCTGGCATGGCCGGTGGTGTCGCCGAAGCCTGCATTTTGCAGCCTCTGGATGTGACCAAGACGCGTCTGCAACTGGACCGCACAGGTCAATACAAGGGCATGGTCAATTGCGGCAAGACAATCTATAAGACCGAAGGCGGCCTGGCACTCTACAAGGGCCTCTCGCCTTTCGTGACCAATATGGTGCTCAAGTACGCTCTGCGCTTTGGCTCCTTCGCCTGGTTTAAGGAACAGATTGCAGGTGGCAAAGATAAGCCCATCACCCCCACGATCAACTTCACGGCCGGTTTGCTTGCCGGTTGCATCGAGTCGGTTATCATTGTGACCCCGTTTGAGGTCATCAAGACTCGCATGCAAAAGGAGGTGGGCGTCGGTCGTTTCAGCGGCCCCATCGACTGCACGCGACACATTGTGCGCAACGAGGGCATCCGTGCGCTCTGGAAGGGCAACATCCCCACCATGGCACGTCAGGGCAGCAACCAGGCCTTCAACTTCATGGCCTTTGCGTGGCTCAACCACCACGTATGGGACAAGCAGGACGGTGACGGCAAGACTCTGCCCACGTACGCTACGTTCATAAACGGTCTCATTGCGGGCTCCCTCGGGCCCATGCTCAACACGCCTATGGACGTGTTGAAGACGCGGTTGATGGCCCAGGAAACTGTGGCCGGACAGGAGCTCAAGTACAAGGGCTTCTTTGACGCCATGAAGGTCATTGCCCGGGAAGAGGGCGTCGGTGCCCTGTGGAAGGGTGTGCTCCCGCGTCTCACGAGGATGGCTCCAGGCCAGGCCATCACATGGTCTGTTGTCATGCGTGTGACCTCCATCTTCGAGAACCAGGAGCTGGAACTTGCTGACAACAAGATCAAAATGTAGAGCGACACAGTAGAGAGCTCTTGTCGCGTGCTCGAAGGCGAGCGATCACGTATCTGAGCTCTCTCTTCGTGCAGCAGGGAGAAGAGACTGACTTATTGAGATTCATTTACAGTAATAGTACTTTATGTGTGTTTAACATCTTGAAGTCTAACTATTTGCGTGGTGGCAATTACAGACCAGTGGCTTTTGTGGCCGCAACTTTCCAGTGGCAACTGGACCTGCACAGGATTTCGGAGGCCGAAATTTATCAGTGCGAGTGTTGAGTCATCGTTTTCACTTCAAGCTGTTTGCAAGATGCAATCCATCCAGCTTTGGCAAAAGGTCGGAAGATGCTCGTAGAAACTGGTTGCACCTTTTCAAAACTGTGGTTTCTATTTGCGTGGGCAGGCTATCTACAGTCATTTACAATGTTACAGTCTCCTTGTGCTCATCCACTAGATCGGGTTCGTCGAGGAGTATTGGCGCTGTACGAAAGTCGCTCTGTGGGCGGAAAGTCCTCTCGAATCTTAATCTCGATCTCGTCTTTAGAGAGGCCCATCGCACGATACTTTGCGATGGCGCCCAGCAGCTTATCTAGATGACGACTCGTGCTCGAAAGTCTCGGCGGCAGTCCGAAGCTGTCTCCGTTCGAGAAGAGCGAGCTCCGATCCAGAGCGTCACCCTCGCTACGAGCGGGTGTGTGCACGAGTGGCGGCGTCGGGTCATCCATCATGCCATATGGCCTTGCTACTTCATTGGCAATATCCTCGTCGTCTTCGTCACTCTCGTCCTCATCGTACTCGTCGTCGTACTCATCATAATAATCACTGCCGAGTGAGTACAACGAACTCTCGATCGGTGCCTGTTGCGGGGCGCTCCCGCTGCGACTGTTGCGGCTGCTTGTCCGCCGTGAACGCATCGACGAGCGCATCCCCATCACGCCGCTTCCAGTGGCGGTCATGGTTCCTCCTGCCAGTCGATGCCACGGAGCTCCGTGTTTGCAACACTCACACACGCCTCCGGTGTTTTCCCGTCCGTCCGGCAACTTTTTCATCTTCTTGTAGCTCGCGCAGCCACACGGTCCTTCCTCGGAATCTCGACCAAAGAGACACGAGCCTCGTCGGCCGACTCCTGCCCGTACACGTTGTGAGCGTCTCTCCATCTCCTCCCACAGCAATGTCCGTGCCGGAACAGGCTTAGTGGGCACCAGTCCTGCGGCTCTTTTCGCTGCATACTCTTTGGCAATTTCCAACAAAATTTTCTCAGCCTCGTGGATACGTCGAGCCTGGTCGGCAACTTTTTCACTCACTTTACTTGAGCTTTTGGAAAGCTCTTCTTCCTCGGTGGTAGGGTCCAGTGGCAACGAAGGGGTCATGGCTTTATCAAATGAGTTGGAACCTCGTGGCAGCTGCGAATCGGTTGTGGAGACCGCCGTGCCACAATCGCTCGTCACACCTTCACTCTGCGAACGAGAACGACGTTTGTGTTTGTGGTGACTCGGCTGTTGCAGTGACGGAGAGGACGGAGACATTAAGTTGCCAAAACCGCCCGGAGACTGCGACCGGCGTCTGGGTTTGTTGAATATGCTGACTCGGGACACTCGCTGCTCCCCCGACGATGCCAACTTGTTACCCATGGACGAAATATTGTGAATTTGGTGAAAAACCCGAGGCGAAAACCGCGAGAGTGCGCGTTGCGTGGTAAACTCGGAAGTGGCGTGAGCGTCTTTCGCCTACCGACGCGCCTGTGTGTCGGTGTCTCTGTCGGAGACTCTCGGTCTCCGCCGGCGGCTGCAACGTTTGTACTGCACTTGTCGTGGAGGTGAAACCGCGATGAAAGGCTCGACAGACGGCGCAGACCGTCGGAGTTCAGTTTAGTGTATTCCACAAAAAATCCACAAAATGACACCTCGCTTTACCGACAGACTTGTCTTTTGCAAAAGCGGTAAAATTCTAATTCTCTCTAACTTCAACTCTGACACTTGGCTTGAACGACTTTCTTGATCATGACACTATTCTTCGATAATAGAGCCCACGCAATCGGACGACGTGCGGATGGACCGAAATCGGCGCTTGCACTGCAAGACCCATGGTTTCCACTTCCGTGTATCACAACCTGACCTGTGGACCACGGCCTGTTATTGGGAAATCTTTGCGGCGGGCCTCGGTTGCCCACTAATGCGTAGTGGAAATTCCTACCTTGCCAAGGCTTTTTTTTTCAAGATGGAAAAGCAAGGCGAAAGGTACACAAAAGGTTTTTCGCTGTTGCCGTTGGCAAGTCCATCTTGGCATTCGGAATGTCATCGTGATATTCGGTTGTGGTGCTTTAGGGGCCTACAGTACTTGGAATGGGTGATTGCCACGCGAGCTTGTGGTTTGTCTGGATGTCATTGAATGAGATCCAACACGGACGTTGATCACCCTATCTACACAATAAATAGGAACGCGCGGCGAGTTTGGGACCACCGAGATGGAAAGCGTAGGTCTCCGATGGCGGATCAGATCGATGTGGGCAGCCACAGTCTTATTGACGCTGTCCATTCCGCTTCCTACCATGGTCAACTCGCCAGTTCTTGGCGTGGACGAAAAGAGGAGCAGACCCATGGAGAGGCACACACACAAAAAAAAATCGACAAAAACCGCTGCGGCGTTGACAATGACGACTGTGGAGGAGCAGAGCGCCTGTCCGTCTTAATATGTGATACTTCAACCACTGCAAGAGTTGAAGCTTCTAGCCGGTCCATGCGAGCCAGTCCGAAAGATCGCGACGAGGAGTTGACGTCGAAGTTGCGCCAGACGCGAAATCGTACGGCACCTCCCGTGCGACAACAGCGCAAATTGCATGGCGTACCATGCAGCCGAGGTTTGCACCCAGCGTGTGTGGGAAAGGAATGCAAGTGGTCTAACACATCGTGAATGGTCTCGCTGGGTGAAGATAAAAATCATCGGTATCGGATGAGGTCACCTTGCAAATCGTGGCGGTATGGATGGAGAATGAAGCCTGTGAATAAGATGACACACGCACTCGGTTCAGAGCGGCAAAGCTGCTTGGCACATAATAGTCCGCCCTGGTGACAAGTAACGTGGCCGACTAAGAAATCGCGTTCAAGACCATGTCGGCATTTCATCTGTTGAAACCAGAATACTGTAAGGGATCGATGTCTACGACAGCCTTTAACGTTTTCGGCGGCAACAGAAGTTACAACCGAAGAACCCCTGTTTTACGATACTTTAAACTGTGCAAGCAATCTGTTTCACTCTCTTTCTCAGCTTGTTCCACGCTCGAACAGTCAGATAAAAACCGAGTGGGCGTCACCAAGCTGTCGGCCACCCATTTGGTGGTCGGTAAGTTATCGAAGTTACCGACGGTAACTTCGATCAGGGGTCCGCAAGGAGATACCCCATAATCCTTGATTTGCACTATATACACAACAGAAAGTGTGATGGAGAGGCTCATCGACGATCACCAACAGACATACATTTTCAATGCACTGTTATCGGTTGGCCAGTTGCTTTTAGTGACTGGGAATAGAACTTTGCACGTGTCACTTGTACATGTACTTTGTATCGACTGCTATGGTTATCGTCCCATTTTTCGCGAATCCATACATAATGGCCATAAATTATTGCCATCCTTATGGTCATACCGTTGGTTCTTACGTGCTGGTAGTGCTACGCAATAGGGATTAATTCGAGATTATGGGCCCACACCAATAGTAGGTATCGATTCGATACAAATTTCAGATGAGAATGTTTTATTTTGGACGACCTTAGCGTCCAGGTTTCCCAGATTGAAAAAATACTCAGAAATCTGATTCTCCATGGATAGTCCAGCTAGGGAGCCAGGTTTCGCCCAGGTTTCCTTTTAGAGAACGGAATCAGACTTGGTAATTTACATTCGGAATCTTAAATGACCGAATCAGGTATTTTTCAGGTATAAAACCTGGGATACTCATGTGTGCACGACTTAGGCTAAAGTGGAAATGATCGTAGGCAGTCGACGTCGGAACTCACCGCAACCAATCGTTTTCTTCACCGTTTACCCAGGTATTTTACAGGTTTTAAAACCTGGGCAAATCATGTGTGCGCTACTTAGAAAATTTCTAGAGTGATGGCCGCTGCGGTGTGTCGGCGTTCACGCTCATGGTGGCGTACCACGAATGTACCATTATCGACTTCTGCCACATACAGTCATTGTCCAGGTTTTGCCCAAGAATTGACCATGTATTAAAATCGTTAGTGTCTACATGCATGTTGCACTGACGGATATGCACGAATAACTAGCGCGGCCTCAACTTCATGACTGCGTGCAGCATCTCCCACCTCAGCTTCGTAATACCAGCTGGGGACACATCGCTGGGGGATTCGCTGCTCACGCAAGTCCAGAAAAACCGGCACACAAACACACCGCAACTGTCACTGTCCGTTTGCACCGGCTCGGTTACTTCCAAAGCTTTGTAGGAATCGTCACGTAGAGGCCCAGTACGGATTTCTTCAGCCATCTTCTGCAACCGTTTCTTGTTTCTCTTACCGCCCATGCTGTCGTACATCTTGACAACCTTGGTGTCTCGGTCAACCACGAGGCATCCCAATGCGTGCCACCAAAATTGATAGGAAGAAGCACGAATTGGTGCGAGGCAACACTTTCACCAACTTTGTCGAGCGTGCTTGTAGAGATACGACTTTTGGTGGCCTTTGGTTGGGTTCCATTCTTGGCATCTTTGGCTTTTTTGGGGGGCGGAATGACGACTGTACAATTGTTCTTGTACCGTGCGAGACAAACCGCAAAAGCACGCATGGCATTATCGTTTAGCCAAGCGGAATCTCGAAAGCAAAAGAGATTGTTGTACGTCAGGTCGAATCCGAACCCAACCAGCGGTGTATACGGCCAACACTCCAGTATCTTTCCCATTATAATACCCGCTGAAGCGGAGTCACTGACCGCGGGTTTAACAGTGCTATTCAACCAGGTACAGCAAAGAACAGCATTGCGACAAGTATCTTGTAGCCCCCACAAGGATTTCATAGCTTCCAGTTGCTCTCTGGTGAACTGACCAGCTTTTTCAATTGACACCACGTAACTCTCGATGCTGCCCATTCGTTCACCGTCACTGTCCAACTCAATTTCTTCATCTAGCGCCAATCCGCCCCTCAACTTATCCAACGCATCATCAACAAGCGATTCGACTAGCCGGAATCGCACTCGATCTGGCACGTAATCTCCGTCGACGCGCCACTGAATTGACCTTCCCTCACCATTCTTGTTGACTGGAAAGGTAGTAAGGAAAGACCCAACTTCGCGAACTCCAGGCATGATCATCCATAGAGTAGACACCACATCGCAGACGTCGTTATCTCTTAAAAGAGCGCGTAGTTTCATCCCGTTATTGTACTCTTTTAGTGCTAACGCCGCCTTCACTTTCATCGCCGAACGATTCAAATTAAGTCGCCCGGCCCTTCTGACCTTACCATTCAGCTTGATTTTTGGTGGTTGGGCTGCGGTCGTAGACATCTCTGCTGCTTGAGTCGCAGGACCAGCCACCTGAGTGGGCGGTACGTCGTCGGAATCATCCTTGGTAGCCGCATTCGCATCGCTAGCCTCAGTATCTTGCTGTTGTTCAGAATCCACCCCTGCTCCACTTTCACCTGCTCCTCCATCCGAGTTGTCATCATCATGTCTGTTGTCACCGTCTCGATTGGGGGCAGAATGCTCTGCCGTGGGTTGTCCATTCCTCATGTTGTACCACCATTGATCCAACTGCGACATCGCACTAGCGAAGGCATCGTCTTCGAACCTCGCAAGCTCACCACTGATGCGACTAAGTGCCTGCTGAGCACGTCTGTATTTCTCCGCTTCACTCACCCTTCCACCAGCAGATTGTGAATGGGCTTTGTATATCTTAGCCACAAACGGTGCCGCCACCTCTGTCAACTCCTGTTGCGAGAGCCGGCTTTGACCAAACCACCTGCAAAAAACATACCTGGTTAATACCTGATGAAAACATGGCCAATACCTGGACGCAAAGTCAACATACCTTGGCGCAATTGTCGAGAGCGGGATAATGAATGGGTTGCCACAGCGCTTTCGGTACATCATGACGTGTCTGCAGGGAAGCTTCATGGTCTGAGCAAACTCACAGTCGCACAAGTAACCCTCTTTCTCGATAAGATACTCACGTTTACCACCGCTGACAGTGACAGTAGTGCCATTGTCGGTAAACGTGTAGTTGTTAGCAACAGCATCATCCGTAGCAACATCGTATTGAGCATTGATCGCTGCCGCCACCCAACGTGTTGTCATTCCCAGCGCTACATTCATTTCTTCTGAGTAGGACACGTCCCGTAAGGTGCCAGGCATCTCGACCTTGGACCGATAGTCTTCCTCTTTGCGTCGCTGGTAGTCCAAAAGCACCTTCAAACTAGCTCTCATTGTAAAGTGGCCTTTGAGATGCCGTTTGAGCTTACCAAATAGGCTCTCCACGCGGTTGTTGGTGTGATTTCCGAAGTGAGGCAGATCAACGCGATACGCCATCACCCACATCTCGCAGCAGTCGTTCCAGTTTTTGTCAAAATACTCCCACAGATCGGTGCGATCATCTCGGCAAGCGAGGCTCTTAAACTCTTCACGGTGCATATGGTAGTCTTCCTCTGTCCTGGAGTAAGTCATGTTGGTGATGGCGTGTTTCATCTGCGCTAAAACATCCTCGTCGTAAGCACCGTATGACTTAGATTTTCTGATCGTCTCATGCAACCACTTGATCACGTGAAAGTGGCAATACAGCACACGAGCTTCGGGAAGCTTCTTGCGAACCACCTTGACTTCGCGCATGTCCTTGTCGACGATCACAATACGGACGAACCGCCAGTGTTCGTTCGCACGCTTGAAATGATCCAAGCACTTTGTTATATGCCAGTCACCGTTCGTTTCGATTAACGAATACTGGACAGGCTGGCCTTGGCCAAACTGGTCCATACCAACCATCGTAAAAAGCTGGTAGTTGTACCTAACCATACACAAAGTCTGGTCAAAATCTGGTCATACCTGGGATAAACCTGTCCAATTACTACCATGCAACTTACTGATTGGTTTTGTGCGTACAGTCCATTTGAATCACCTCGGGGAAGTTGTCCAACATCGCACGCATATGCCCACTAGTGAAGGAAAGCACACCGGTATCTCCACGTGCACTTTCGTGCACCGAAGAAACATTTGCCGATGACTCTCTGTTGAAGTCCATAATCATCTCAGCCACGGCATCGTTATCAGACAACTCCACACCTGCGAACGCATCAAGTTAGAGGGGAACAAGACGACAAGACATGTAATCAAACCAAACATTTACCTTGATTACGCAGCCGGCGAAGTAGATTGTGCACATCATCCATGGAGACTCGGTGCTTTGAGTTCTCTCGAATGTAGTTGTACACGCTTGTGGTCCCGGCTTCGGATTCAACCAGCAGCTCAATACCTGGCATCAAAGGTGAGTCCGCCGGAACCTGGCGAATACCTGGATAAGACCTGTAAATGTCTTCGGAGACACGATGATTATGGGCGTACACTTCACGCTTCATCACAACGCCCCATTGACCGTCACTACGCTTGGTAGCTTGAGCCAGCATCTGAAACGGACAATCGGTAGTACTCAGCTTGTGTGACGTCCGCTTTCCCGTTGATCTGTCACGTTCGGACCACCCATGCGTACAGATAAACTTGCGCTGATAAGGTTCCATCTCTGCAGGGACGAGAGGCAACTCTGAGTCAGGAAGCCCTTGGTACCTCACTTGGCGCCGAAGATCAGCATTCCTGCGGGCTATATTGATCACCTCTTTCACCACGATTTTTTGGCGCGTCGCCTCCATGTATTCCTTGAGAGACTGCTCCAGCGAGGCCCACGAATCCTGATGCGCCTTAAATACAGGGACCTGAACCAGCTCTTCTTCTTCGACATCGGAGACGGTTCTTTTCTTTCCTTGACGACGCTTTCTCGTTGGTTCCGTCTCCACTTCATCTTCTTCCACTTCACCCTCTTCCCCTTCGCCCGAAGCGACCTTTTCCTCCTCTGCATCCTCTTCATCTTCCACCGAATCGTCCTCTTCATCGCCCGTAGGCTTCTTTGCTTCACTCGACGTGTCCACACCTCCCTGCCCTTCCTCGCCATCTCCTCCTTCATCTGCGACGTCTTCTGTTGCCTCCTCCACTCGCTCTTGAGCATTGCTGTCCTCTGCTACTTCAGTTGGACTAGGGCGAGATGTCTCCATACTTTCTCTGGCGTGTGCTCTCTCTGAGCGCGTACGCGCCGCACGCAAGAGAGCGAGGTTAGCCTGACGAGCTTCCTCGGCCACACGCTCTTGCTCTGCCATATTCGCCTTGATCTGGGCAGTCTTGTTCGTGCGTGCCATCCTCGGGGCGTGGGGGGGGGGCTGCCACGTGTCTCCCTAACTGGTGGCTAGGAATCAAAAGAAGAAAATGAGAGTAATTTAAACCGTTAAAACTCTACCTGGACAATACCTGCCGGTATACCTGGACAATAACTGAGTGATAAAACCTGGACAAGAGGGGTGCCGTTTTATTTTCTACAAATTTGTATAAACTTCACAGGCTTCACTCCAAGTAAAGGTTTGGCATGGGTATAAACTTATAGAACCTTGGTGTACGAAAAAAAAAAATGCTTGCTTTACAAATGCAAGAGATGTTTTTTTGAAAATTTACTTTTTTCAGCTTTTCTTACACGGCTAGGTGTTGTGCTAGAATATCACTATTATCGTATTTGCAGATCTTAACAACTATAAAGAGGTCTGTAATCAAAGCTGTCGAGGCCCACGGCGGCATTATCCGTCCACCTCTAGCCCTTGTTCAATAGAAGCTGCAGTGGTTTCAATGCCTTGCTACTGCCACTTGACGCAGCATCAAGACGCTGAGGATCCCGGACATGGTGATTTTGGAGCTCTCGGTATTTTTCGCGAAGTGATAAGTCCGCTCGTATGTGTCGTTAGGCCGTATCGGGCCAGCCGCCGCGGGCGTCAGTAGTGGTGGACTCGACCGGCCCAAAACTTCCCCGAGCAGAGCGGAGATAAGTAAATAAGTGGACGATAAGTAGACGAGCAGAAGAGTAGAGTATAATGTAGGTAGAGCGAAGTTAACCGCAGCAGCTCACTCAACGCCGCGGCGACGAAATAAAGTGCCCTCGCGCGGTGGTCGCCGCAGCTGGTGAGCTCGCTGTGAAATTGTAGTTGTGAGCTTTTGAAAGAAACAATCTTTCCGGTGATAGAAAATGATATCCTCACTCAAATCGTATTACCTTCTTAAACAGATTTACAAATTCTGGATGTGCTGGAGTTTAGTGTGGTAATGTATCTTATCTGTATATGATTGTTAGAGCAGATACGGTAAAATTCAACCGATTTACAAGTGCTCGAGTCTAGTTTAAAAAATAAGGTGTTAAAATCTGCAAAATGTAAAGCAGCAAGAAGAATAAAACACTCGAATCCTCCCGGCTGATTGGAAATGACTACGAATTTGTAAGTTTTTATTAAAAGTAGCGTTTAAGAGAACAAAAGACCCCGCTGGTGGTAAGGGAGTTGGTGCGAAGCCTTTGGCTTTCCAGGGCTACTAGCGCTGCGCAGCAGCACTACCAGCCCAACCCTCTAATTTTCCATAATAGAGCACAGATCCAGCGAATTTTGATTTCTTGACATGCAGTGGGTGCAAAAATCGAGGATCGACGTAGCAATAAATTCAATCACTAAATCGCCCACCTGGGAATCGAAAACTTTGCTCAATCCAAGATTAACTTGGTAGTGCGATTAATCCTGGTAGTGCTACCCCAATAGATTTAATTCGGGGCGGCTTTGGTGTGTGCTCCTTAATAATAATGCATACACATATAATGAGCGGACGTATAAAATCATCGCTTCGAATCGATGACTCGGGGTTTACTAATCCACGTAGGTAAAATCACTGAGATTGATAAATTCTAGCAGGAAATGCAACAGCTGGCAGCTCCTTTTTCATATTTTGGTTGATCTTTTAATCTAGGAAGTGAGTATTTTGCCCGAATGGGGACTGTCTTCAAACCTACACCTAGCCGATCTTTTGCTCCTCTCCGATGTGCTGATTTTTTTTTACATCCGTCGAGCGTATAGCGTATACCTGGTAAATACCAAAGCCTCTCAGAACCACAAATCCCCCCCAGTCAAAACGCGCGGCACCAGCGGGAGGAATATGGCGGCGCAGGCACGTAGCGCGCAAAAGCGCCCACTGGGATCTGCGGACGAGAGTGACAGCAGCGAGGGGAATGAGTCAAGCGGATTCTTGAGTGAGTTACAGCCGTCTCCAGGTCCCAATGGATCCGAGATGCTCGGCACATCTAGTAGCGCGAGTGATGGAGCTGGGCAACAGCTTGTTATCGCTCCACCTCCAGAACAGACCCAATTCGAGTCGTGGAAAGCTTTTGATGACTATCTCAGGGTGTACCAAGCGCAATCGTTCCAGGTAACTTTGCACATTTAACAGCCATCTTCAAAGCACATAAATACTCACTATATTTTGTAGATCTTTCGGATGCGGACAAACACCACTGCGGCTGATCGAAACGCAAAAATGGACGTACAGAGATCTAAGGCACCTCGAATTCCCGTTGAGTGGGTACAGTACGCTCGGACTTTTGTTTGTACTCATCATGGCAAATATTTCTCGACAGCGACTAGCGAACGACCACGGCAAGAAACTCGGGCCCAAGGCTGTAATGCACAGGTAAGACCTTGGCTTAACTCTCCAAAACACTCTCATTTTGGCTGAATCGGGCAATTTCTGTCTGAGTTGGGCAATTCTGGCTGAGTCGGGCAAGTTTCGGCTCAGTTGGGCATGCTGGGAATTGGTTGGCCACTTTGGAATCATAATCATTGCGCTAAGCGCTAATGACTCATCTCGTGTCTTTAACGTCCCACAGATCAATACGTGCGTCCAAGTGGTCGACAAAGTTTCGAAGAGGTTTGCTGTCAAGATAACGAAGTGTCGTTTGGAGCATAACCACCGGCTATCTGAATATGCATTCACGGGGCACTCTTCTACTCGCGTTTCCATCCCCAACAAAACCTTGCAAACCGTCGATGAACTCCGAAAGGCGGGCGCTAAGAAGACGAGTATTTTGAAATTTATTAAGGAAAATTCGGACAGCAACTTAACTGCTCAGGACGTCCAAAATCTAGTTCGCAAATTGAAGGATCGTGAAAACGGAAAGGGGCCATCTTCCAGCGCAAAACGGATGAAGACGTGGATGTCAGAGTTTGGTGACCGGCCCGGGAATGTCGGTCGTATATTCGTTGATGAAGTGGATGGAAAGGTACTATTACATTTATAATTGGTTTTAACTATTGTCTGAAAATTGTGCAATTGTCATGGTAGAAAATTGCCACGTGCATGACTCTTCAAACGAAACACATGCGGTCTCTCTTCAAACAATTTCCAGAAGTCCTTCTGATTGACGCAGCGCACGGGACAAATCGCTCGAAGTACAAGGTCTTCTCCTTCATGGCCCACGATACGTTCGGAAAAGGTCAATTTGTGCAGCACTCTCTGCTACAGAACGAGCGATGGCCGACGTTGCTAACAGCGCTCGAGAAATTTACGGCTAACAACCCTGCATGGACAAAGTTGCAGTGTATCATTATTGACAAGGACTTCACCGATTTGTCAGTGTTGAAGAAGGCCTTCCCCAACGTTGCTATTTTGCTCTGCCAGTTCCACGTTCTTAAATATTTGCGAGAAGAAATCGCATCGTCCGACTACGGATTCAGTTCATGGCAGAAGGAGCAGCTACGAGGTGTTATAAGCCTACTGGTTTACGCAAAGACGGAGACCGAGTACGTGAAACATTTCCAGTATATGGATCATCTAGTCGAAATGGGGAAGCAGATTTCAGACTATGCGGCGCCAAATTCTGTTGGGCAAGTCGGACACAGGTCGGGTTTAGACGGGCAACTTGATCAAGAGTCGGGATTAGACCTGGAAGAGCATGGTATGCAGTCAAACGATGCTGAAACACTACCGAGGCGTGACCGACACCCGTTTATTGCCTACTTTGTCAAGAATTGGGACGAATGCCGAGATTTGTGGTGTGCTCATAAGCGGCAAAACACGGTGACGCTTGGAAATAATACCAACAATAGGTTGGAGGCGTCCTGGAAACAGCTGAAAGAGTGGGTGAATTCATTCATGGCTGTGGATGAGTGCATTGCCTCGATCATGTACTATCAGAGCCTGCAAGAGAGGAGATACATGGACGAGGTCTACAAGAAAGTCAATGTGCAGCACGCCGGTTACGACAATGAGATGATTTTGGTTGCGAATCTCGTCAGCGAGCACGCGTGTGAGTTGATATATACTCAGTATTCGTACGCGCTTGGTCGTGCCTCGTACACGTTCTACGAAGGGTGCCCTGGTGTATACTTCGTGAAGAGCACTTGCAAAGATGACGACGCGCTTGATGAATTATACACGGAGTACTCTGTATTAAAGCGTGATTGGACGTGCTCATGTTTGTTCATGAGTACGCGCCTTATACCATGTCGCCACGTTTTTTTTCTTCGTAGAGCTCTACAGATGAAAACAGTTATCCCGACGCAGTTAATGCATCAGCGTTGGCTACTTTCGTCTGTCCGGTCAGCAATTGATTTCGAAAGCACCAATGACAGTGCGTCTCCTGTGGAATCATTTGCTGTGCGTCGGGTAATGATTGTCGATGAGCGTCCCTGGGATTCAAACCGTAAATATATTCCGTCAGGACCAGAAGATGCTGTACCGAACCTACCGTCTGTTTCGTCGCAGTCCTCTACCCAACTGGCAGGGCTGCAGGTTCGACAAACCAACCATACGCCTGAACCGAGAGTTAACAGCTCGTCTGTCTCGCCAAATGTCGAGTTGGATAGTGAGTGGGATGATCTCAGTCAATCAGGCCAAGTCACAGAGTCGGGTAACCATTCGGGTGAGTCGGGTAATCAGTCGGGTGAGTCGGGTAATCAGTCGGGTAACCAGACGGGTGATATGAGCACTCAATTACCAGTTTCAGAAGCTGCTTCAAACGAACCGTCGGCAACAATGCAACTTGCTCAAGATAGCGACTTTGAAATTGCACGTCCTCCTAGATCACGTGGACGCCCAAAACAGTCAGCGAAAGCTAAGAAGGGTGCACGAAGTAAGGCGGTCGCGCGTGTCCAAGATGACTCGGAAATGTACGCATCACAGCTTAGCCTGGCAAACTTACAGTACACATTTGACAACCAGCCATCATACGATTCAGCAGCAGCACTTATATCCAGATTCAAGTTGTTCGAGTTTACCAAAAGTCCTAAAGCCCCGATTGCTCGAATGTTAGCGACGCTACCTCCAGCTAAGCAGGTGACACCAAACGAGTCGAACATGCGCATATTTCGTGCCGATTATATTAGAAGTGTTTCGACAAAGTTTCCGCTCTCCAAAAAAAGCGGTCGGACAAGGGTGCGGGTAACTTGGGTGAAAAAATGGTGGTGGTGGAAGTTATTGGTGTCGGCACCTACTCTACAAAGACACTGGGTGTGATGAAAATGTGGCATAAGGCAAAGATGATGACTATACTTGTGGAGAAGGCCGTTAGCTGGATCGAAACGGTCGACTTCCCTCTCCATATGCCCTCGTGCTTCAAAGTCAATCAAGACCCCAATCTTATTGAGAAGCTGAAGTCCATCCCGCTTCTTTCGACTCAGGTATGAATGTTCTGTATGACACGCCTTTATTAATACTATTTACTAAGACGTGCATTTGTTTACTGACGCAGGCAGAAGCACTGGAACTGGTTGGGAAATCTGCGCTGGGCGACAACTCAGTTGACATGTTGATGTCGAATCTGTTCGCATCAAGGGCCGAAGTGATTGCGGTACACACAGGCCTCACTGGGAACGTCATGAATGGCTACGCTTCTGTTGAAACCATGCACAATATTTTCCTTGACGTGACCACAGAGAAAATTTTGATCCCAGTGATATGTGGAAAGAATCACTGGTGCTCAATCATGATGGATCTTTCACGAAAAGAAGTCTTTATCTACGACCCGATGAATTCCACCTACGGGGTCAACATTCGACCACTTGCCGAGAAGTTGGTGGCGATGCTACCTGATTTCGTCCCAAGAAAATATCGAACCCGTGCCTACCAAAGTGATCTCGGAGTGCAAGTCGATAACTACAACTGTGGGATTTACATGCTAGTAGCCTTCGAGATATTTTGTGGCGCCGAATGTCTTAGTTTGCTGAGTAAAAAGGAGATTCAGTATCTGCACTTTAGATATCTGTGCATGTGCATTTAACGATAACAAATTTTTTATTAGCTCATTTTTCTAATGCAGACTAGTGCTGGATGTTCGCAACAATTTCATTTGATGGATACCTGGATGTTATGCATGCTATAGCAAAATGTCAGAATGCCACACACGTGTGTTCTTCTCTCTACATGCTCTCATTGAGCTTCCGGCTATACGTATATTTTCGAGGACACTTCATAAGATGACCCTCCGGCTCTAGCTAAGTCGGGCATATTCGGGCATGCCTGTCGGGTCAATTCTGGCACGGATGTCCTGTCGCGTGTTGCCTATTCGGGCAAAATAACGAGTGCCTTTAATCTAACGAAGCCTCACATAAACACATTAAAGTTGATCTTAATGCATAGCTAATAGCAGAAGTCAATTCACCGAAAGCACATTTCTATTCTAGTCATTTAGAGATATAAAAAGATCATGTATCTCAAAACGTGCGCTACCAGCCCAATTCTCTAGTTCGGCTTGTGTGAGTACAGCAATAGCAGGTACTGTGCACCAATAGCAGGTACTATTCGATGCAAAGATCAGGTGGTTTTCATAAATACGCAAAAAGGAACTACAGTCTTTTGCCCTAATAAAGAACCCCTAATATATATACAAAGCACAAGGTCATTCGGTTGAACAGGCAAAAGCTCGAGCGGCGAGAACTGAAAAGAGAATAAAGCTAACGTCTGCTTTTATTAGTAAACCAGTGTGGCGCCAACAATGCTCGATCGTCTCTGGTGAGAGCTCATGCCACGCCTCAGCACACCACTGAATCCCACGAAGCATTATAACTTTGTATGGCTGTCTTGTGCCATTCTCAATATCGTCCAGCGCGAAGTGCATTTTCTTCGCTAAAACATTGCGCTTGACCCAGTATACGATACGTTGGTCAAGTGGCTGTAGCTTTGACGTAGTGTTTAGCGGAAGTTTAGCGACGCGTACATTTTTAAGCTCTAGTCCTGTTTCAGAATGAGAGGAAGCATTGTCGACTAACAGCAAAATACGTCTGTCAGAGGCGCGCATGGCATTATCCAGATCTAGTAACCATGTCTTGTACAATTTGGTTGTCATCCAGGCCTTTTTAGACGATTCGTATTCGATGTCTTGAGGTTTCTGGTTGAGCCAGCGTGGCTTAGCGGACTTTCCGATAAAGAGCAGTGGCAGCTTGCTGTCGCCAGTAGCATTAGAGCACATAACTAGAGTAAGCCGCGACTTGTTTTGCTTTAAGGCTGAAGCCTTGTTCAAGCACATCGATCCGCGCGGTACATTGTCGTAGTAGAAGCTGGTTTCATCCATGTTAAAGACGTCTGTCGATGCGTAGAGGCTAATAACTTGGCGAAGTCGTTTAAAGTCAGATGCTATCGCTGTGAGATCCACTTCTCCAGATTCCCCATTAGAGCGTCTCCAGCGAATTCCATACCTAGTTTGTAGATGGCGCAGCCACGACCATCCGAGGCATGGGCGCGATGTCATCGGGATGCGAATACGTCCGAGCAGTCTACGTGCATAGCCAATAATCATGCTACCCGACAGGGCCAGCTGGTACGCTTCGCAAAAGTAAGGAACTAGACTACACACTGGTCAAGACACAGCTGGTGTAGCGGGCGGCGCTTCTTGCGAGCCAAACACTCGTGGGTCAGTTGGCGGAGGGAGCTCTCGGACTTGAGCACGCGCCCGATTACTTGTTTTGAAGGTGCGTCAATAAGACAAAACTGGGTCTTGGCCCAAGTAGCTATCGTCGTGTACGACTCGGTTGGCATAGAGCGGTGACGCATGCACACTTGTAGTTCTTGCTCTTTTGTGAGACGAATGCGCTTCTTAAACGGCCTCTTCCGTGTGAGCACAGGCGATATCGTTGCTTGAGAGAGAATGCAGGAATGAATTAAACTTTACGCGCGGAAAGCTTGGATTCCACGCTTGCGGTGGGTTTTCGCCTGTGTCCCCGGTTTACAAGCTGTGATTGGTGGAATCCTAAACCTTAATCTACTAATGCAGTACACAACAATCCATGTGGCTACAGCTTCAAAATTTTACAGCATTAAAGATTATCATATTTTACCTGTTCTTTATTGGGCAAAAGACTGTATAATCAACCACCCTTTTTGTCGCTAATCGATGATTATTACGGGGATTATTTGCTTTTTACCCTAAGTTGACATATCGGTATGCCAAAAATGAGTTTTTAAAAGTGATACTACAGAATTATGAACATGTAAATTCGTGTCGTCGGTGATGTATACGAGGTGAACGGAATTTAAAACGAAAGTACCACAAAAACGTACTGTAAACAAAATCAAGCAGAACATGTATTATTGTGCGCTTCCTGCACTTAACCCCCCAACGCCCAACGGTTGTACGTACAGCAGGAATCATGTTGTACGTACAACATGTTAAAAGTTGGGCTATTTTGTTGCAAAATATGGGCAAACTTGAGAATGCACAGGGCTGGGGTTGTTGAGATCAGTCTCTTTGGCAATAAACAATACAGATTCTCCCCTGGGTTGGTGGCTGAGAGCTCATTTCGAGAAAAGACCTGAAGGAGAGACACGTGTGCACGATGGCCCCGCCTCGAGAAACACACCGCGAACGCCAGCAGTTCCGGCAACGTCTGGATGGCCGAACTGCGCACGACCGAGAGCGCATCAGGAAGGAGCATGCGGCGTACCTGGCTGGCGAACGAGAGGAGGATGCTGACTTCGGAGAAGATCCAGCACCTACACGCAGCGCGACAGCTCGTCCTCTGCTTCCGGTTCCGATCGGCAAAGATGCCTGTTACGTGCGTGCGCAGCGACGTTTGATCTCGCAACAGCAACGTGCTGTCGCCGCAAAGACGTTAACAGGCTCCGGCAAGAAACGGTTGGCTGCTAGTAGGGACTTGAGCGACGATGATGAGGACTATGATCCCGATCGGTTCGACGAGGAAGCGGATGCTGATGCAGACGATGAGCGACTGGATGCAGCAGACTCCCCAGTCAAGACACGGCTGCCAAAGAAGAAGAAGAAGAAGACGGCCGCGGCGACCCCGACCAAGAAGGCGACCCCGACCAAGAAGGCGACCCCGACCAAGAAGCCACGAAAACCCACCGCGTCGCAAGTTGCTAAGGCAGCGGCAAAAGCAGCGAGGACAGCAGCTGCCGAATCGCGCTGTGAAGATTCGGCGAATGCCGAGGAACAAGGGAGCATCGCTTTGGCCGAGGCCAGGAAGAGATTGGAGGCGATTGGTGAAGCGAACAAGAAGAGGAGCCGCCAACCAAGTGGGACACCAGAGAGGTACACCATGTTTTATGCTGTCAGATACTACATGTTCTCACGAAGTGTTGTTGTACGCTGCGCAGGTACATACAACATTTGGGACATACAACATGGATACAGCGTCGCTATGCTTTCCCTACAACGTCGTTATCGACAACATGTAAACAACATGAACAGCAGCTAACATATATTGTCTATCGACAGGGGTTCCACCGATCCTCAAGATACGTCAGAAGCACCGTCGCCTCGAACGTTGTCTGCAGCGCCTGCGCCACCCCCGCCTCCTGAATGTCCAGCTCCTGAATGTCCAGTTGCAGCACCAGAAGACGATTGGTACGTGGCAAAGTCTTTGATGCTGATTATGTATACTAACGTTGTGCGTATCATAGTGAAAGCTCAGCATCCATTTCCCAGACTCCTGTCCCCGACGCGGCAACCTCTACCCCTGTTTCGCCGACTTCTGCTCCAGCCTCGCTGTGTTCCGCTCCAATTTCACCTGAAAGAACGTCGGTCTCAGCCTCTCCTATCGCTGCCCCCGCTTTCGCTGACGAGTTTGATGCGTTGAACTCTGATTGCGAGGAAACAGAGACCGAGATTACGTTTTACGATGATGATGACGAGTGGAGTCGAGCGAGAAGTGAAGGTGAGGGCTTTGCGTCGGGTGAAGACTACAGTGATGAGGACGATAGTGAGGCTGGATCAGATACTATGAGTGCTGATGGAGAAGCAGCTGGTTCGACACAGCAGTGGAGCGTCTTAGAGAAGCCGGAAATGGTTGATTTTGTGATGGACGATGCCAACATGGCTGCCATGCGAGCTAACGGGTGGAACTTAGGTTCGTGACAATGAGGGGTGTAGCCTCCAACATATTCTAACATGATATATGATGTATATACAACATGTAGACCCAGACAATTTCCCGCCTGACCAACATTACCCAGGATTATATTCTGGGGAGTATGGACCAACCGGCGAGGTACTGGCCCTGACACACTCACCGCTCAAGCTATTCTTCTTTTTCATGCCGAAGAGTTTGTGGAGACAAGTTGCAAAGGAAACCAATCGCTACTTTGTGCAGAACCTCACTTCACGAGTGGAGCGTATGTTCAGCTCGCAGAAGACACCTGCCAAGAAGTCCAAAGAGTGGTTTTTGCATCGCGAGGCCAAGAAGCGGGACGTCAAGCCGCACGAGATACTGCAAGCGCTTGGATTACTGATGGCAAGAATGCTGAACCCTCACCGCCGCAGGTTACGTGATCATTGGGGCACTAATGCAGTGGGTACTATCCCACGGGGGACGTTCAACGATTTTTTGCCGCGAAACCGCTTTGAACACATCATGGGAAATCTTCACTTCACCAACAACGCAGACACGAGAGCAGCAACTGACCGCGCCTGGAAAGTCAGGTCTATCGTTGAAACGCTGCAAGAAACGTTTCCGTTGGGTTACAAAACGCCGCCGATCATATCATTTGATTAGGGCGTTCTACCTCTGAAGAACCGGAACAATCCTACGCGTCAATGTCTCAAGGCGAAGCCTCACAAGTGGGGCACAAAGCTTTTTCTGACGTGTTGTGCAGATACTTCCTACTGTATGAGGTGAGATGACTGCGAGTCCTTGCGGACTCGCGGTTTTTTTTTTGACCAAGTCTATCATGTTGTATCTAATGCTGTATGCTTGTATGCTGTATCCTACAACAAGAAGGCTTGAGGTGTATTGTGGCAAAGCGCAGCAGGTCCATGAAGTAGGCAACGTTCCAGACAGTCAGCGATCTGCAGATCCGAACACCGGGCCGTCAGCAGTTATCCGAAACTTGGAAGCTGTCCTGCCACCACCCGAAGATGACGTCTATCACATTGTAGTGACGGATCGATTTTATACGTCAGTTCAACTGGCGTTTCAACTACTACATAGGAATGTCTACAGTATCGGCACGATAATGGGTGACAAAGTGGGCTATCCTCAGCAAATTGTTGAAAAAAATCGAGACCGACCCAAAAGCATACCGCACGGTACAACAAGAATGGCAGTGGCAAAAGCTTGCCCCCTAATGACGGCTTTAGTGTGGTGGGATAGAAAACCCGTGCAATTCTTGGGGACTGGATCGAGCCGTGCGATGGAGGAGTGTCGTACGTATATGCAAGAGGAGTGCTGTTTCCTATTCATCTAATCAATGTTGTGCTTGTTATCAGAGAGGCGTACACGTGGAACACACGGCAGACGGACTGATGTCCCTTGTCCTGCTATGATTCGAGACTATCACAAATGGATGGGGGGCGTGGATGTCCATGACCAGCTGCGCCTCCAGCGTTACTCGTTGCAGTTGCAGACTTGGTGCAAGAAATACTACAAGTCCATATTCTTGGGGCTTGTGGATGTGGCGATTGTGAATGCGTATATCATCTTTCGTGAGGCACATAAGCGAGATGGTGGGTCTCCAATGTCGCACGCAGAATTCCTAGTGGAGCTTCATGCCCAGCTGCTTGCTCTGACCAAGTACGACTTCGATGAAAGTGTAAGTCCTGATGTTGTATCTGTATCATGTTGGATAATGCTGACATATTGTATGACCCACATGCTGTATGTTGACAGCCAAGACCACAAGAGACCGCAGCTGGCGACGAGCTTCCACCCTTGCCACCTGGCCACGAACCTCGGGAATGTCCTGAGTACCAGATCGTGAAAGGCGTGCGCAAGCGCCGGCAGCGCCAATGCAAAGTGTGCGCAATTCTGAAGCGCCGGGTGGGAGAGCGTCGAGCCACCAAATACTATTGCGATGCCTGCAGCACTTCTGATAAAGCTCGGTACATACGAATTCGATATGGCTGAAACGACTACTAACTGTTGCTCGTTATGTACAGCATGTATCTGTGTACTCGTATTTGGCCGCACCACTATCCTGGCAACGCTCTGAGCTGCCACCAGATCTGGCATCACAAGTGGGCAAATGGAGCCAAATGCCCCAGGGCGCGATGTGGACGAGGATTCCAGAATCGCGAGGCTGGAGGAAAGGGTAAGCGCCGCCGCCGAAGTAGTGATGGAG